AATTGATCAAAATTCTTTCTTAGCGGATGCCTACGTCATAACATCTACCTGCATGCTAAATTTCAGCCCGATCCGTCCAGTGGTTTGGGCTGTGCGTTGATAGATCACTATGTCAGTCAGTCACCTTTGAGTTTTATATATATAGATTATTTTGATTTACCATTTAACTGCTAGATGTTTAAATATGTAAGGAAAATTTTATTGGAAAAAAAATACAGACAGCTGATACGACTAGAACGCGCATTTTTTTCTATCCGGGCGGATTCACTAAGTAATACTAGGAGAAATTCGTCACGTCACGGCATTACGGTCGCGGTAGAATGACGTCTATTTACCAAGATTGATATTCAACATTCGGGCTTCCTTTTCAACTTTGCAAAAACATTATTACTTAAACTTGATCGTTTTGTCGCTTTTTGTAGCTTTTTTCAAAAAAAAATTTTTAAGAGCTCTCGAAAACTTTTGCACTCTTTTATTGTAATAAACGATCAGACTGTACAAAATCAGGAATTTAAACATTACCTCTAATCCTACATGCAGTGTGGTTAATGTATTATTTTGAAATAGTACCAGTATTGACATAATTTTTAATATCGCTATGAATATCATAAAAACATTTTTAACAAAAAATTTAACCGCCAAAAAGTACGAATTCTTTAATAATGCCGAGTTGAATATTACAAAAATTATAGTCACAAAAAATTATAAAACAAAAACTTTTTGACAAAAAAAATTAAACCGCCGAAAAGTAAAAAATAATAAACCTTTTTCAGCTTTAGACAAAATAGTATTTGGAGTCGGTGTCATGCCAACCCAAGAAGTCAATAGGAACTCAAATCTATTAGACTTGCATGGCACCGAATCAAAATATTAATTTTTCACTTTTTCGCGGTTTAATTTCTTTGTTAAAAAGATTTTATTTTACATATTTTGTGACTACAATTTTTGTAATATACATCAAAATCGGCGTCAAAATCGGTGAGTGAACATTCAACCCTATTTTGCAACCCTTAAGGTAGGATTTTTGTTTATAAATTTATATGGTACCAACTTCGGCGTATACTCTTTCCAATAAAAAGAAATTTATCAAATTCGCACTATTTAGTAAAAGTTATGCCTGGTCATAAATAATATATATATATATATACTAGCTGACCCAGCGAACTTCGTACCGCCATAAAAATAGGGACAGGTGGTAGAAGAGAAAATTTAGGCTTGTGTGTATTTTTTAATACAACATTATAAAAAAATAAATATTGTGAAAAAAAAAATAGGGGTGTGTAACGTAGTGTTCTATCAATTTCCTGGGATAACATTCCTCCTAACCCATATGAGAACACTACGTTACAATATACAATAGTTTGAATTTTGGCGAGAAGACTCACTGTAGGTTTCAGAACACTGCGTTACAGATGGACAACCATTATCGCTTAAGGATATGAAAAATAGATAGAAGCTGATTCTCAGAACCACGGAATATGCATATAAAATTTCATAAAAATCGGTCAGGGCGTTTCGGAGCAGTATTGGTAACTAACATTGAGACACGATAATTTTATATATAAGACTAGCTGACCCAGCGAACTTCGTACCGCTATAAAAATAGGGGCTGGTGGTAGAAGGGTGAAAGTTCAGGGTTATATGTATTTACTAATGCTGTATCATAAAAAAATTATCTAAAATTGAAAAAAAAAAATTTAGGGGTGGATTACCCTTAACATTTAGGGGGATGAAAAATAGATGTTGTCCGATTCTCAGACCTACCCAATATGCTCACAAAATTTCATGAGAATCGGGAAAGCCGTTTCGGAGGAGTTTAACCACAGACACCGCGACACGAGAATTTTATATATATTAGAAGATATACGCGTCGACTTGAAAACCTCGGTTTTTTTTGTCAGTTAAAAATAGAGAAAATTCCTTTGATAACAGTGGTACCAATGAATCCAGAATGAATCATGTAATTGCGGCCGTACGACAACATTTCGACGCGGTAGGTAATAATGTTCTATAATTGGATTAAAGCAAGTTAGGTCACCATTTTATATGTCAAACAGAAAACAGATATCGATTTCGTAATTCCACTAAACAGTATTTATTACATCAGTCCCGAGCGCAATTAGTTATATTACGTAGCGATGTTATAAGAAATTAATTCGTTTTTGACATCATGATTATTCATGATAAACAATGTCGTCATAATAATATTTATCAAATGATAATGTAAACAACACAACATGAAAATTAAATATTTAAAAAAAATTCAAGTCAAAATTAATAATACAATAAATTTTTATTTTTGAAGCATGTAACTGCTCGAAACGTTTTTTATAATTTTAAAATGTGCCATCAATAATGTAATTAAACAGAATACAACATGAGTGCTGATAAATACGACGACCTCCTATTTCAACATAACAAAGTTATTCATTTGTGTCTGTACTTCATCAAAATGGGCCTGCTCCTTCTCAGTGCGCTTTCAAGGTGTATGTATGGACATATTTAAGATACTTACTAGCGTTCGCCCGTGAGTTCGTCTGCGTTAACTAAAAAAACCGGTCGTGGCTGTAGACCTTCACCGCTGGTGTGGCTCCAAATTCTCACCGCAACTGGCTGCGTTTCTACGTAGCTCACCGAAATGAATGCCAGGACAGTGGTGAACAGGGAGTTAGTTACATGAACAAAAGTTAAAATTATATCTATCTACATCTTTTTTGCCTACACATTTCTACTGAAACGGTGCATTTTCAACCAAACAATAATTTCAGGATGGAAAGTATCCTATGCCTCAATCCAGCTAACAACCTATATGCGTAACAATTTACATCCATATCCGTTAAGTAGTTTTTGCGTGATTGAGTACATTAAATACACAAACTTTCATATTTATATTATTAGTAGGACAGGATCCTTAATCCAAGGAACTAACCACATATACAAATCAAGAGCTAACTTATTTATAGGCAAGGAACAATACAGTCAAATCAGACTAACCACAGATACAAATCACGAGCTAAGGGATTTATAGGCAATTAACAATACAGTCAAATCGAGCTAACCACAGATACAAATCACAAGCTAATGTATTTATAGAGCAAGGAAAAATACAGTCAAATCGGGCTAACCACAGATACAAATCACGAGCTAACGTATTTATAGGCAAGGAAAAATACAGCCAAATCGGGCTAACCACAGGTACAAATCACGAGCTAACGGATTTATAGGCAAGGAACAATACAGTCAAATCAGACTAACCACAGATACAAATCACGAGCTAAGGGATTTATAGAGCAAGGAAAAATACAGTCAAATCGGGCTAACCACAGATACAAATCACGAGCTAAAGTATTTATAGGCAAGGAAAAATACAGTCAAATCGGGCTAACCACAGATACAAATCACGAGCTAACGTATTTATAGAGCAAGGAAAAATACAGTCAAATCGGGCTAACCACAAATACAAATCACGAGCTAAAGTATTTATAGACAAGGAGAAATACAGTCAAATCGGGCTAACCACAGATACAAATCACGAGCTAACGTATTTATAGAGCAAGGAAAAATACAGTCAAATCGGGCTAACCACAGATACAAATCACGAGCTAACGTATTTATAGAGCAAGGAAAAATACAGTCAAATCGGGCTAACCACAGATACAAATCACGAGCTAACGTATTTATAGAGCAAGGAAAAATACAGTCAAATCGGGCTAACCACAGATACAAATCACGAGCTAACGTATTTATAGAGCAAGGAAAAATACAGTCAAATCGGGCTAACCACAGATACAAATCACGAGCTAGCGGATTTATAGGCAAGGAACAATACAGTCAAATCAGGCTAACCACAGATACAAATCACGAGCTAACGGATTTATAGGCAAGGAAAAATACAGTCAAATGGGACACTGACAATATATTTTTATTTTGCGGTAAGTACATCTTCGCACTGTATTTTTTTACAAAATTATTGAAATCCTAAGTTCTTACTATATGTCAGTCTGTTAGTAGGTTAGGTGTACTTATCCGTTGTAATCTAATTACATATATTGTGTCATCGTGTAAGTAGGAACACTACTGTTTTACGAATAACTTCTTTTCTATATTGTTACGTGTCGGGATGGGGTTCCAAATTATATGCCAGTTCACGCTTGAAAGTTCTTTATTCACCACACAGTTCACACAATTAACACACAATGTTAATTATAAAACACTCGCTAAACACTATATTTCACTATACAAGTCTCTAAACTATCGCACTTGAACACTTTTGTTGCACTTTGATCGCCTTTGGATTCGCTCCGAAATCGCTGTTGAAACTCAACTGTCTCTGCGCGGAACGCAGCCGAACGCGCTAACCACTTGCGCCATCGAGCTTCTCGAGATAATATTCTTTATCCAATCAAAATAAGCTTACATAGAACAGCATAGAACAGAAGCATTAAACAAAACAAATATGAAAAATATGATATAGGTATTAAGAACAGAGGAGCTCGATGGCGCAAGTGGTTAGTGCGTTCGGCTGCGATCGTTGCAGTTAAGCAACTTTCGCAATGGTCGGTCATTGGATGGGTGACCAAAAATTTACTATCTCGAGCTCCTCCGTGCTTCGGAAGGCACGTTAAGCCATTGGTTCCGGCTGCATCTGCAGTCGTTAGCACCTACCAATCCGCACTGGGCCCGCGTGGTGGTTCATGGCTCAATCTCCCTATTCCATCCATAGGGAAGGCCTGTGCTCCAGCAGTGGGGACATTAATAGGCTGATGATGATGATTAAGAACAGTAGGGCACAGCAGATTTTCCGCCTCGGCCATCAGGGCCGCGGTAGCTTAATGATCAGTGCATTCGCCCGGATAGCGAAGGGTGCGGTGTCGAGTCCCGTTTGCTGCCTGATTACCGCGTGGATTTTTTTCTAGTAAACTTTTCTTTAGATATAAACATCCAGCAGGTAAATAAATGCTTAAAAATATAACGATACTGATGATAACTTTCGTTTCCAGGTCACGGCTTGTTCAATCACGTGGTGTTGCTCACCAGCGGTCTGATCCTGCTCAACGTGTCGATGGAGTCGGTCGGGATGAGTTACGTTGTCACGGCGGCGGAGTGCGACCTCGGCCTTACGAGTGAATACAAGGGACTGGTCACTGCAGCTGCTTTTATAGGTAAGTAGTTTATAGGTAAATAAGTACCTTTCTCATCATCATCATCACCAGCCAGTTTTAGGAATTTGTGTTATTTACGGCATTGTTACCATGTACCTTGTTTTTAAGCGAGTTTCCGATATTAATAAGTAAATAAATCAATTTCAATCGTGAGGGACGGGTTTAAATTGTCGTGTGTTTGGAATCCTTTTTTTTGTCATTTTTCCGGCGGAAGGCTTCCTCTTCACCAGGCGTTCTCCCAGCGCGCCTGACCCCCATACTGGCGGTGCGCAGGTTCGTGAACTCTTGTGTCCACCAGTATACCTGCCCCCTGCTCCGCGGGCCGGCCCGCGCTCTCAGCATGGCGGCGCTGCAGACGATATTAATATCATCTGCAAACAAATCCGCCATGCCTTCGGCATTCCCAGCGACGGGGTCCGGGACCTCTGCCCAGGCCCGCACTATCGCTGCCTCCTCCACATCTGGCTGGAGGCGTGTGAGCGCCCACCGTTTGAACGGTGAACTGCCCACACGGGGGCCCAGATGAAGAGGGGCCCCTGGGGATGCCGTGGAGACCTCATATCGGACGTATCTATCTATGGTCCGATAGGTTCTCCATGTCCACCACCACCCGCTAGTCTCGGATGCGGGCCGCGAGCGGTGGGGTGGCGAAGGACACGTCTATTAAAGACGTGCCCTGCCAGCGGACGCAGGTCGGGATGGTTCTCCGATTGAGGATCTGGGGTCCCAGAGAAAAGACCCAGGACTCCAGAACACCACCCTGAACGTCGGTTCTGCGGGACCCCCAAGCCGTAGATTTGGCGTTGAAGTCGCTTGCTACCAGAACCTGACGGGGGGGCCGGTGCACGACCCCTTTAACCTCAGCAAGGAACCTTTCAAAATCGGCCCTGCTGCGGTTGGGGGAGATGTAGGTGGATACCACCACCACCTCTCCCCATCGGGCTGCCACATATCCCTCCCCTCTTTCAACAAGGACCAGTGTGGGGCCCGCCCCTGTTGCCATTATGGCTGCGGAGCCGCCCGCAGCCCCCATCCATTTATCGGAGGGGGGGATGCAGTACGGCTCCGAGACCACCGCAAGGTCGATCCCCCACTCCGCTGTTATCTGGCACAGATCCTGTGCCGCAGCGCAGTGGTTCAGGTTCGCCTGAGTGGTTCCTATGTGTAAAAACCGGAATAATCAAAAAAGTGTCGATCCGCCAATACTGTGAGTGTTATGTGTCGAGAACAGTTCCGAGTATATAATGAGAATGTACGGGTATCGAACGCAATAAAAGACTTCGTCGGAGGGTATGATATCTGAAATAAAATTTATATTTATTTATTTATTGTCTTATATAATTAATGAAATTGCTTTGCTGGAAAAAATAATAAGGTAATTTTTAATAAGCATAATATTCATTAAATGAATAAAACAAATGAAAGAACTTGTGCTTATGTAAACTGAAATTCTTTTCTCGTTGTTTTTACATCCATCGTGCACATTGTTTAATTTGTCATACGTTCATGTTTTGGACAACGCATAAGTATATATAATTATAATAAGTAGATACCGATTTATATATGGTGCTCACTCAGATAACACTTTCTTCTAAAACGAGTACGTACCAGACTAGAAATCGCCAACAGCCTGCAACAATCCTCAGAGAAAGTTGTTAAGAGAGTCCGTGGGTGGAGCTCTTAACTAACCTTCAATGCAAAAATATATTTAATGATGCACAATCTTATCTATTATCTTATTAAATTAATCTGTCTTATATATTTTGACTATCGTAGTTGTACAAATTGACTCAGATTTTTTTGAGTAAAACAAAAAAGGATCGGAAAATTGGCGCCAACAATCTCTACGATTTTTTTTTCTAAATGGCTTCGCACGGTGTGTGCATTTAGCCAATGTCAAGTGCTAAAAATGTTTACAAATTCTATAGCACTCGTGGTCAAAGTAATAAATCAAGTCAAAGTAAGTGGCAGTCAAGTCAATCCCCCCTATGTTTTAGTAAAAGTGTGGGGATTTACTGGAACCTCCCCGTGGACTTCTTGAGGGAACGTCGAAAGACACTTTCCGCTATTTTGTTTCACTTGCCAACACTTGTGCATGTTCGCGAACACTTAGTGGTTAATAATCCACCATTATTAGACACTAACATCCGCCACAACACAATTGTTAACAAGAAAAACAAAACTGCTAAAGTGACGCTAATTACGTTAGCTGCAGCCGAAGGAACTAAAAAAAAACTAAAATTTATTTAAACTAATTTAATAAAAATATAAAAGAATTACAATTATGACTATTTCTAAGTAAGTGTTGCCTAAGTTCGATGTTAGAACGAAGTGGGCGAAAAATCGTATGATTGCGGAAACGAGGACGGCGGCTTGACGTCACGCGGGCACGTTGAGCTGACGCTGCACCTCGTGCGGCTGCATGGAATGAGGCCATCGTTGCTACGTTGAGTGTCGCAATAATTTATAGGTATTAGATGGATTTGGTGTATGTAATTCCTCCTCCCCCAGAACAGCAATTATTTTCCAATCTTGAGTGAAAAAATTGCTGGTTGAGATGGCTTGGCGTATGTGTGATTTCCGGGATTATCGGGAACCTCTTCTTGGTTATCGCTTCCAGGTAGGTCTTGCTTGACATAGCATTGGCAGAGTCCGTAGCGGCGCATTAATATAACTGTTACAAATGCAGCTACGAATAATGTTATAATATAAAACGGTATTGTTGTATTATAGATTTCATCTGGTATCGACGTAAGTTGCAGGGGAGATTGGATAATGATTTTATCTTGAATTTTGTGCAGTTTTTTCAAGTCTATGGTGTTGAGATTGAGCTGCGGTGATGCTGCGGTCTTGATAACATCGGGAAAGATAATTTTCATGATCTTGAGCGGCTGACCTTGTACCGTATCATCTGCGTTGGTTATTGTGAATTCCGTAGTTTGTAGCGAGCAGTGCATAGGTATTGTAGCAAGAAAGCTGCCATTCAGCGAATTGTATTCTTTGGTGCCACAGTGCAGTTGAACTTCAGTAGGTCGAGGAAACGTTATAACATAACTTCGGTCGTCGAGCTGCTCCATTGCTTCTCTTGTAAGATGAACTTCCGTCAGGACACATGTTGGGTCGATAGTCTGATGTAAGATGATATTCTGAGTGCAGTCCGGTTGGGTGCGAAGTCTTTGATGCGGGCTCTCCTTGCAGAGATACTGACCTTCAAACTTCGGGCATTCAGCCTCTATGTACACGTACTCCTTCCTGTTAGTTGCTATTAGAGGAAGGGGAGGTATTAGGACTTGGTGAAATTTATTTGGGGCTAGAGACAACCTGTATAGATCATAGGTATTAACAGAAACTATTGGAAATCTAAAAACTATAACTATCTGCTTATTATTATAGTAAGAACCCGAATTAATAATATTATAATAGTCTCTTAATTCTAAATCTATAACTTGCTCCCTATTATAAATTGATCTTAACCTACCTAACATATTTTTAAGTACATCTAAACTTATCATAGAGTGGTGAGTGGTCATAGTCCGAGTAAAAGCTAGAATGTTTTCTATTCTCTTAAGTTCTTGTAATAAGTCATCTGTATTCTCCGAGATAATTGCCAGTAATTGAGCAAATTTACCAAATTTAATAAGGTTATATTCTTTATACGCATTTCTATCCAACATTGTCTGTAAGGTTATATTAATTTTACTTTGATTATCTAAAAGATGATTTATTATGTTAGTATGTTCAGACATCCATTCGTTATTTAAAGTAATACGGCTGTTAATTTCTGTTGCAATTTCGTTTTGGTTAATTTGTAATACTTCTAAAGCCTTATTATATCGTATGGCATCCTGATAATCTAAATTTCCGGTGATACTCTTCACGACAGAGCCTAACCCATCTATAAGACCTCTTTTTGCCCTACTAGGTTCTAGAGATTTTAAGTGATCTAGGATATTATCGATTTTATGCGTAAGATAATTTATTTGCAGTTCGTATAAGATGAAAGTTTCGTTTGTCAGTCTGTTCTCGAAGTCTTGTAACTGTCCTTTTAGTTTAGTGATATCACTTTCGATGCTGTCGAGTCCTATATACTGTAAAAATGTATGGTATTGGGTAGTTATTCTGGTCGGTCCGAGTTTAAATGGTAGAAGTCCAGGTCCGTCATCAAGGCTGTCAAGTTTTATCTCCTGGGCTCGAATTAGGTGAAGAGTCAGCAACAGTAGTATCCTGCAACAATTGAAAGTTTTTAGGGGTTCTTTTTAACCGTGACTTTGCTACGGGGCCGCGTTTTTTGGAGGTGTATATATGGATAGGCAAGTCAGCTAGGACTTTGTCCTGGGTATATCGTGGTGCTAACTTTTGTCGACTGGCAAAAGGATTTTTAATGAACACTTGTTGCTGTGGTTCATATTCAGCTTCGGGCTCCCTAGATTTGTTACGATTCTCAATAAGGTGGGTTCTATTTTCTAACGATGTTTCATTTATGATGTCGTATACTACTTTCATCTGCTCCCGATGAGTTTGTACATATTGCTGAAGCAACCGTTCTGTCAAGTCAATGTCTATAGGGTCCCGAGGGTCAAAGTGTCCTTTCAGTATGTCATATGGTCGGCAACGAGTAAAACTGTGGATGGAACTATTATAGGCTATGATAGCGTACGGCATAAGGTTCACTACTGGTTCGTCTTTTTGTTGTAACTTTAGAATTCGTAAGTGTTCCAGTAACGTTGAGTGAAACCGTTCTATATTGCCATTATCGTTAGGTGAATGAGGTAAAGTTTTATGATGCATAATCTTATGCAGTCTCAAAAATTCTACAAAGAGTTGGTTTGTAAATTCGGTTCCATTGTCAGTCACTAGTGTCAGGGGAAGTCCATGGTGAGTGCAAAAAGTCAAGAGTGCTTGGAGTATACTGATTGCAGTACCGTCTCTAAGGTGATAGGCTTGCCCGTATTTTGTAAAGACGTCTATAAAAGTTATGTATTTCTCACCTTGTACGGTGA